ACCCTCAGCCAAGGCACTGGGCTAACCCCTGTGGTGCATGCCACCTGGCAGCCCCTGCCTTTGGGACGCTGTGCTGAGGGGGCAGCCATGTGCACAAAGCAGCTGCAGGCAGAGGGGCTGGACACTCTTTAGACAGAGGAGTGTGGCTGGAGCTGTGGTTTGCACTGTGCACGAGGAAGGCCCAGGAGGGAGAAGTGGGACCTGCTTCCTGGCTCAACCACTGACTGTTGCTTTAAACAACTAGCTTCCTCTCTCTGTCTTGGTTTCTCATCTGATAAGAGGGGGGGCCTGGCTTCTCAGGAGGAGTAGGCTGGGGGCTGGCCCCGCCAGGGTGCTAGCCAGCACAGATCACCACGCCCTGGCTCTGTGGAGCATGCACAGGAGGCCCCTATTTGGGACTAGGACTTGGGAGACACCCCAGCTGTAGGAAGAGCTGCCTGGGGAGACAGGAGTGACTCAAGAAAGGAGCCTTTAAGGGCTTGGCCAGCCTCCAGACTCCACTCTACACGCAAAGAAACCAACATAAGAAAGGAAGAGAAATATCATAGCTCCAGGAGCCTAAAGTTCTAGAGAAGCAATTGAAATGGTTGCCCACAGCACCTTGAACATTCAGAGTGCACTTGGACCTACTCAGTGCCAGGCAAGGCCATACCACTCACCCTGATCACGCTCAACCTGACTTCATCCCCCCAAACCCCGTAGTGGTGTTTCAACCATGCACAACCACCACCAGGACCCCCCTCCTGAAGGACTCTGTTCACTCACACCACCAGGACACCTGACTTTGCCCCATCAACCTTGGGTTTTAAATGAATGAATGAATGAATGTTTTCAGCAATGAATAGTTATTGGTTGGCAGGCTCTGAGTTATGCCCCAAGTGAAGGTGCTGTGATGGCCTTCTCAGGTCCCCTTTGGTGAAGGACTGGTTGCCCCAGCTGCCGAGAGGGCTGATCAGCTGTCTGTCCCTGCAGGGATGGCCTCAGCTGCAGGGAGCTGCCTCTCCTGAGAACTCACCCTTTCCCAGGGCAGCGCAGCTTCAGACAGATGGACTCGAGCATATAAAGGCCCAACGCAGAAGGAGTCTGGAGGGCAGTTCTAGCTCTGGAACACGCATGGGGGTGGCTGAGGCTGTTGTTGGGGTTTCCTGCTCAGCACCCCTCTGCCCAGTCCTACGTCCTTGCCCCTTGTCCACAAGGCTTGATCCCAAGGGCACTCTCTAAGGAACATCCTACGCTCTAACTCCTTCTGCAACACAAACAAAAGAGAGTGGCCCTTGCTCTGGAGAGTGCTCAGTTTGAGAATAGAAACAACAACAACAACAGCAATAATAACTGTACAGACATTCCTAATGGCCAGGCCCTGTGCTGTGCGTTTTACATCCATTATTTCTGTATTAGGCAGGCCTCTCTCAGTTGAAAGAGACAGAAACTCAGCTGAAATGGTTTAAGTAAAATAGAGAACGTATTGGCTCATGTAACTGAAAAGTCCAGTAGACCTCTTGCTTCAGCCACTGGTGGATCCAAGTGTTGTCACAGTGCCAGGAGTCCGCATCCGCGGCCCTGATTTCCACGGTGTTGGCTTCAGTCTCGGGCACAGTTTCTCCATTTGGCAGCTGTGTTCGTTTCCTGCGGCTGCCGTAACAAATCACTACAAACTCAGGCGGCTTAACACGCAGAAGGCGATTCTCGCAGGGCCGTGGAGGCCCGAAGTCTGAAATCACGGCGTTGGCAGAGTCCGTCCCTCCTGGAGGCTCTGAGGGAGAAACTGGTCCGTGCCTCACTCCTAGCGTCCAGTGGTTACTGGCAAACTTTGGCATTCCTCGGCTTGGATAGGCATCGCTCCCATTGCTGCCTCTTATGCACCCTTTCCCAGTGTGTCTCTGTGCCCAGATTTCCCTTTTCTTATAAAGACACCACTCATTGGATTAGGGTCCACCCTAATCCAGTATGGCTTCATCCTAACTTACTTACATCTGCAAAGGCCCTGTTTCCAAATAAGATCACATTCAAGGGGCGTTAGGACTTGGGGGACATAATTCAACCCCCAACATTGGCTAAAGGCTCCAGCTTTCTTTTATCAGCCTAGCAAATCCGATGGAAAGAAAGTTTCAGTAACTCCAGAGAAAGTCCTAAGTATGATTCCCACTGGCCTGGTTGGGTCAACTGTCCAGCTCTGGAAATCTACCTCTGTGGCCAGGGCAACGGAAGAGTCTCATCAGCCAGGCCTGGGCCTTGTGCTCACGCTGGAACCAGGGAGTGAGGTCAGCCCCACCTGGACCACATATCCAACAGACACCCCAGGTGATACCACCAAAAGAGGAATTGACAATTAGGAAGGCCAAATTAGCAAATGCCTCTCAGCCTCCAGCACCCCCAGGCACCCTGCAGGGTGGGCCTTATTCCTATTGACTGAGTGGAAGATGGAAGCTCAGAAAAGTTAAGTGACTTGCAACTAGTTAATGAGATTAGAACTGAGCTGAGACTCTAACCCAGGCCTATCTGGCTCCCAAACTGGGTTTTCTCCCCAACGACTGAATGCCAAGAGTTCACAGAATGCTCTCCCTTGTGATGGGACAGTCAGGCAAATCCTCATGGAGGAGGTGGGTATTGGGCTGTGCCTTGAGGGGAGGGAGAGAAGGAGTGTCCAGGGGAGGGAGAGGCCTGGAGCCAGAAGAGCCCAAGACTTTCGGTTGAGGCAGAGGGTGCTCTCAGGGGTTGGGGGTGAAGGGGGGTCTGGAAATGTGTCTGAGGCCAACTGCAAGGCCTTGAGAGTCTTCTGTTTCCCATGGGCAATGGGGAGCCATTGAAGATTATGAGCCAGGAAGAGCCTTGGCCCTTGATCTGCTCACAGGGCATGGTCTACATGCTCCTTCAGGCAGCAAAATATGGGGCAAGGTTTAGGTAGGGAGGCCCGTGAGCAGGCTATCGTGGCAGTCCACTTAAGAGGTGATAAGGACCAAATGGGGCTGGAGAGGAGGGACTGGCAACTCCACCCACCACCCACCTAAGCCCCAAGCCTAAATCCAACACCGTCCCAGCCCAGCCCCCCAGCCCCTCCATTACCACCCTTCCCTGTGATACCAGCTTTATAGGATGGGTCCAAGGACCAGCTGGGACTTCCCTCACACTCATGTCTAGCATCAGCCCTCAAAAACCCCTCCAGCCAAACTGTTCTCATGACTGGTGTATGGGCAGACCTTGAAGTGGGCGAATCATCATGTCCTGGCCAGTTACATTCTGGCACCAAAGGCATTTCCACAACCAAGAGGGAGAGCTCTGAGGCCAGCTGCTGGGCCAGCTTCTCTGCTTCCTCCAGCCAACTGAGGGGAACAGGGATGGGGGACAGCTGTGCTCAGGGCCCCAGTGGACAGCGGCCCAAGGAGTGGGTACATTTGGCAATGGGCTCCTCTGCCTGCTCTCTGCAGAAAAGAACACAAACAAGGGGAGTCTCCCACTGCACAAAGGCCCACACCGAAGGGTGGGAGCCCACACGTTGCTGGGAAAACACCCTGGGGGCCTGGATTAGCAAGGAGAGTGGAGGGGTCACTCAGGTAGAGTCTATGAGCTAAGAGGTGGGTGAGAGTTGGGAGCTCCATGAGGCTCTGGCAGATGAGGCAGATTCCTATTGTCCTCCAAACTGGGCAGCAGTGCCCTCGTGAAGTGTGTGTGTGTTTGTCGTGTGCATGCATTTGCTCATGTGCATGCGTGCTCTGGAGGTTGGGGGTGAGGGCCAGGGGAGGGGGGTGCTTCAAAGCCTCCGTTCTCTGGAGTTGCCTAAGTCTGTGGAGATGGTCTCAGGCCACACCTAGAACCATACTCCCCTCAGGGGTCCTGGAGGAGACAGAGTGAGACACTTGCCCACCAGGTCCCCTAATCTTTCCAGTGACTCAGTGTGGGGTGCCTTGCTCACCTCTCCCCTTGCCTGCCAGAGAGATCCTCCTGGCATTTGAGAGAAGGGGAAGTGTGTGGGCAGCTCTGGGATTTCTCGGTGACCATTCCCAGGCCCCCTCCCTGGGGCACTTACTGCTCTGGCTGCTGGGAAGTGGCCCCTGGGAGGGGGCTCACGCAGCCTCAGAGGGAAGGCCCTTCATGTCTCAGCGACTTGGCTAATTCCAAGTTCCCACTGGTGCTGGAAGCTGCCAGCTCATGCTCCCCCGAGCACCATCTCCTGGGATGGCTGAGGGCTTAGCTTTAGGGCAGCAGCTCTGGGTCCCCAGTTCCCCGGTTTCCTCAGGTTCTGGAGGTGGGGAGCGGAATGGGATGAAGAGGAGACCCCAAGTTTCTCAAGGATTAATTCAAAATGGTGGAGAGGGAGGCGAAGGGGGGCCCTGCTCACTGCATTGTTTAATGCCATTTATGAAGTTTGAACCAGAAAAATATCCTATTCTCCTGAAAAGCTGACATGCTTCCTTTTATCAGAAAAGAAGAGCTTGACACCACCAGCAGTACATTTTGGACAAGACTGCCAGGAATTTGTGCGCAGATGCGGTAGCATGCTCAGCCCAAGGTTCTGGGACAACTCTCTCTTCCTCAACCCTAGCGTCGTATTCTTTTAACCTTACTTTAAAGGCCTATTATGTCTGTGTTTTCCATGGTGAGTCATCTCAAATCTATTTGGAAACAGGCAGGATAGAAGGAATGAATGAATGAGGGAATGAATGAATGAACGATAGCATTTACCGAGTATTCGTTACGTGCCAGGCCCTGTTCTAAGCATTACAGTATCGACTTACTTAAGCCTCCCAACAACCCTGTGAGAAGAGCTTATTAGCATCCCCATTTTACAGCCTAGGGACTAAGCGCAGTGAGAAAAAAGGCCTACTCAGGTCCCGCGGGCTGCCTGGCTCAGCATCCTCCTTCTTCCTGGCACTCTGCTGCCTCCGAGAATGAGTGCATGAAAAAGTCCATGAGTGCCAAGGAGGAGGAGGAGGATGACAGGCGACAGTGCAGGTGCTGGTAAGGATGGCAGTGGAGACGGTGGCACTAAGGGTCCTTCTTACCTGGCTGCGTCCTGCTCTCCCGTGAGAGGGTTCCTTCGGGCGCTACCATGGGGCAGCTGATGTGGTGGGAGGGTCCTGGTCCCCAGCTTGCTTGTGGCCTTGGATAAGTGCCTTCCCCTCTCTTGGCCTCATTATGCTCATTTGGGAAACGGTGGGATTCAGGGGTTTGGGAGGCCTTTCAGCTTAGACATGCCGCGGCTCTTCTTTCTGGTTGAGCCAAAGCAGAGGGTGAGCTCTGAGGGTGGGGCAGCCTGATCCCAGCGAGACCAGAGGGCATGAGATCAGGGTAGCAGGGCTCCAGCTCCGGCAGTGCTTGGGGCTAGGAGAAGGGCACAGGCCTCATGAGCAAATTGCCCTGTCCTCGCTGGGAACAGCTGAGCCAGAACCCAGCTGAGAAGGAGCTCAGAGAGCATCAGATCCAACCTTCCATTTTACGCACAGGGAAACACTCTGGGGAAGGGAAGAGAACTCCCAGGGCCCTGAGACTGACCCCCAGCATACGCAGGGCGGGCCCCCGGCTGCCTGCCTCTCAGTCCACTCTTCCCACTGCCCATGGATCTCTTTCTTTAAAGTTCCAGCCACCAGCCAAGAAGATTGCAGGCAAGAGAGACCCCAGAACATCTGGTTAGGCCAGTGGGATCTCCGGCTGATCCCTCAGGGCTTTGTGTGGTCCTGGGCCATGAGTCAGAAAAGCATCATTGTGACACCAACACAGTGAACTATGACTTCTGGGATCAAGCGGTTGCTTATGACTAATCCTCACACGTAAGGTGCCGAGTTGGCTCTGGGAAAGTAGCAGAAGAGGCTACGTCTCTTTTTGGTACCTCCCCTGGCTCCTGGTCCCCTGAGACCCTGTCTCAGCTCCGCACACACGTGGGTGTCCTCCACCCCAAGCTTGTCCTCTGCTTGCAGCTGGTGGTGTCTTGGGAAGGAGCTGATGGGTAATTCATATTGGGATGATGACAGCTGTGACAGGGGAGGGACAATCCCATAACAAAAGAGAGAACACCTGGGTTCTTGCTCCTGCACTGCCGTCAGCTAATTGTATGGTTGTGGACAAACCCTTTTCCCTCTCTGGTCTCAGTCTTCTCCTCTGTAAAATGAGAGGCTTGCGCTGGGCGGTCTGTACGCACTGACAGTGGGGGCTTATGAAGTGCTGCCTCCCCCATGGGGTATTTGCACTATAAAGGAAAAGAACTGAAAACGATGAGCCTTAGCCCAAACAACTGTGACCCCAATGAAGAAACGTTGGCATCAGGGGGCCCGTGAGAGGAGGGGTTGGGCCAACTCCCTGCGCTGAGTCCTCCCATCCCCTGCCTGAGACAGCAGTGTCTGTAGGCCCTCAGAGCAGGTCAAACCAGAGCTGTGGCCCCACTCTGAGGTAAACGGCCTGGGGTCTGGGACAGGTCAGTGCACGTGGACAGCCTGAGCTGCAGGATCAGGGATCTCACCCACCCTGAGCTTCCTGAGGAAAGCGAGGATCCTCCTGGTCATCTAGGCAGCTCCCTGTCCTCATTCAAGCTATCATTGACCCTCACTACATGGCCGGCTGCCCACCCGCCCACCAGGCTACCAGAACCAGGGCTCAGGCCTACTCTTTGAAGCCAATTTCCCCAGAGAAACCTGTTCAGAGCATTGACAGAGTAACAGAATGAGATTGAAGAATAGGGTTCATCTTAGGAAATCTCTTACCTATGAGGCAGGACACTGGACAGATGAAGAAACCCTGAGGCTCACAGAGGGTAAGGGGGCTCTTCCAGGTCACAGTTAGTGGGTGGGGGTTGCGACTTAAACCTGGGCCACAGGACAGATGGACACTCAGCCTGTCAGCCTTTGTGGTTTCGAGTTTGAAAGCCCAGAGCCGAGGCCCACCAGCCTCCTCTCCCTTGTCTGTGCATGGGGGTCATGTCTGCCTCATGGGGTCTCGTCTCCTGGGGTGTGGTTGAGGAGCTAACAGGATAATGGACCCCCATGAATGGTACTTCTTGTTGATACTATTATTATTATTATTATTATTGTCACTCATTCTGCCTACCATGGTAAACAGGATTCTGAGAACCTCAGAGGCCAAGCCCAGGACCTAGCGAGTGGCCCGCGGAGCCGCCCCACCCAGCGGGCCACCTTCCCGCAGCGCCCCAGGAAGCCGCTCTGCCCGCCTCTGACGCGCGGCCTCTCTGGAGGCCCTCTCCTTTCTTGTGGTTCCATGTTTGAAAATCTCCCTCTGTCCTCCTGGCCACGCTCTGACCAGAATGGCCCAGGCTCTCTGTCCCTCTGTGCACACGAGTGACTTTTGCTGAAAAGCAAATATCACTGGGGCACCCAGCCTCGTGGTTTCATGCTGTGCGGTTTACCTCATGACGTCATTTTCCTTCCTCCAGATAAACCAGAAGAGACTTTACTGCTCAAAGTTTCGGCTGGTCCTGGGGGAAATGGTGCCTGCACTGACTCCTTTGAAGGTTCAGAGAGGGCAGCTGGGCAGTGGCCCAGCCGGGGAAGGTGTCCCCAGGCTTGGCCCAGGGTCAGGGTGACCTGAGATGGCTGAAAGGGGTTTTCTAGCACTCTGGCAGGCCTTTGGTTGGCGTAGGCTCAGATGCAGTTCTCTGAAGGTGGGAATCAGGCTCAGGGCAGGAGCTGGGGCCCCTGAGGAAAGGCAGCGAGTGCCCCCTACCTCCTCCCCAGGGCTGGACCTCCTGGGCTCCAGGTGACAGAGCACCTGGCCCTGAGCCATCTTCCACGTGGGGCAAGAAGACAGCAGCAGCCTGAGCCCGGGGAGACCTCCCCTTCCTCAGACCAGGGCATACCCGTTCCCCAGTCTCCTTTGCTGCCAACCAGACAAGGGATGAGGTATGCCAGGCCCGGGGGATGAGGAAGGGGCTGCTCACATCTGGTGAATATCCACCTCATCCCACGCTCTGGGCTTTATTATCTCATTTAACGTTCCAACAACCCTTTGAAGTAGGTAATTTATAGAGTGCTCAGTTGACAGATGACAGACCCAGGGCTCAGAGAGGTTTAGGACTTGCCCGAGGCCCTAGTCAGCAATGGGCCTGGCACAGAGTGGATGTTCAGGAATGCATGTTGTGTAGAAAGGAGACAAGAAGCTACCTCTCCTCAGAGAAGCAGAGGTCTCCAGGGCTCACAGGACAAGACCATTTCTACTCGGAGTGCAGTGGCACTCCCAGCGTGAGGGGCCCTGACTGAGCTGGGGCCTCCTCACGAGAAGCTTGGATGTCAGGCTGGGGCTGGGGGCGGCCAGAGCAACAGAGAGCCATCTCCATTCAGATCCATCCACTGCTGGGGAATGTGATGGCCCTCTGCCTTCCCAGTGGGGCCGCACTCCCTTACACTTGATCCAGATTCTTACTGGGCCTCTACTCTGTGCCCAGCACACTCACTCTGCTGGGCCCTGCAGGGAACGTAGTGGATGGGTGGGAGGGGAGAGAATACAGAGACAAAAAGACTCAGGGAACCTATACTCTTCAAAGATAATGACAGGAACAATAGCCACTGCCACCGCCACCACAGTGTTCATAATCACTGTATTTACCCAGCATTACTATGTACCAAGGCCCACACAAAACATGTCACACACGTGTCATTTAATTCCTATTAAAAAAAACAACCTGTGAAGTGGCCATCATTACCATTTTATAGATGAGCCAACTGAGCTTCAGTCTCTTGCCCAAGGTCACCCAGGTGGGAAGTCGCAGAGCTGGGATTTGAACCTGGGACTGTCAGACTGTAGCACCGTGGACCTGACCACAGCACACCAATAACCCAGACCCGAGGAAGAAGGACTTACGCTCCAGAAAGATGTGTTGAGCGTGCAGAGGAGGGGATACTGGGGAGCTGGCCCCATGAAGGGCAGGCAGGATTTAGACTGGCAGAGACAAAGTAAATGGCACTCCCAAGTGATGACCGCCATGAACCAACGTTCACGGTGCATGTGTGAGGAAGCTCAAATAGCTCCACTGGGACAGAGCCCAGGGCCTGGGAAGGTGGTGCTATTGGAAAGAGAGATTAGGGCCAGAGCAGGGCAAAACGGGTGCTGGGTGACAGCCCCCACCCTGGTTCAGGCCTGGGATCCTCTCAGAGGGTCAAAGGCCAGTCTAGGCGGGAGCTTCTCCAGCACCATGCCATCCTCCTCTACTCTACATCAACCTCCTGCATCCCTCCCTGTGGTCCAGATGCCTTCTCGGGTCAGCTGTTGGGATTAAGCAGTTCCAGAGAGGAAGGCCTGAGCAGCTCAGAGATTGTCAGTTTTGTGGGCTGAGCTCAAGATCTGGAGAATAATCCTAGCTGATAGAGCCCATGTGGGTGGTCTCCGGGAGAGCCTGGGAGGGAACCAGCAGGGCCAGCTCTGTCCTTGGCCTGGGCTCCCGGAGCTCAGCTGGAACAGGCGTGGTGTCCATGCTGCAGGCTGGGCTGGCTGCAGGGCCTCCAGACCCCCCAACACTGTCCCCAAAGTCATTGCTGGTCATCACAAATCACTCCTAGGTGGCCACAGCTGTCTGCCTGCCCCCTCTGCCTGCGGCTCCCAGTTGGGGTGGAGAGACCTTTCCTGCACTCCTGGGGTTCATTCCACAGCCAGAGCCCTGGACAGCTGCTCTCTGCCCCTGCCCTCGGCCACCCTCTTCTCTGGTCAGCCTGTCCTCTGCTCCTTTATCGTCAGGAGCTAGCCTCAGCTAAGTGGCTTTTGGGGCCCCAGAGTGGAAGCAGGCAGGACCCCAAGCTGGACTGCCAGGCCCAAGGGCAACTCGGAGGTGGAGAAGGAGCAGGGCCAAGGGCAGTGAGCCCTGAGTGAAGGCGCTGGGGACGGCGTCTGAGCCCAGCTCCCCCTTGCTCACGCTCCTGGCTGGAGGCCCAGGCTCAGAGCCGGCCTCACAGGCGGATTCGTGACTGAGAAACTGCCTCCTGGGCCCTGCTCTGGGTAGGAGGGGCCTGGGAAAGTCAAGTTGTTGGGCCTTCACAGCCCTGTGGGGCCTGCCCAAGCTGTGTGTGGCTGCTTGGGAGGCACGAAGAGCCATTTTCTTTATTAAGTGTCTGGGTGGAGATTGAAGGCATCAGCAGGAATGCTTTTCCATCATCCAGACTTGGGCTGGCGGCCGGGACCCAGGGGAAGAGGTTTGCCTCCTTCAGTCCTTCAGAATGCTCCTCACTCGCCCTCCTACCACCGTGATTAATCAGGGCCGCTCTGGGGGGTGGGTAGCTTTTTCCACACTGCCCTGCCATCCAGCTGCCCAGCTGCAGTGCCCGGCTCTGGAAACTGGGAAGAGCCAGGTCCCCAGGTCATAGTTGCCATCCCAGCAGTGGGCTGGGTGAGGCCTGCCCTGGGCCAACTCATAGACCAAATTTGGGTGACACAGGCCAGACATGTGGCCACTGCAGGCCCTCAGGCAACCTTGTGTGCACTGGCTGCCGTGGCCACAATGACCTCTCCAGTTGGCCAGCACGGTGAGGGTCAGCCACCAATGACCAGCCCCTTGACTCCTGTGGAAGCCATCCAACACAGCGCTCTGCATCCCGGCAGGACCGCTGCCCAAGGTCTGCTCTCAGAGAGCACGGCGCCCGTGTGGATCCCCATCCCTGGGCACTGCTGTCTGCGTCAGTGTCCCATCTCCCAACCTG